CCCAGCCCTGAGTACTGGGGCCAGAAAAAGAAGCCCCCACAACCTCTGGCTATAAAAAAATAGTGGGGGTTCTGATCATTCAGGTGGGATGGAAGGCAGTGGGAAATCCAGATGTCCTCTTAAAGGGCCAGCATACAGACTCACTCACACACAGACACTCACCGTGGGCTCTGGCAGAGGGATAGTGACTCAGGAGGCAACAGATGGATATGGGAGGCAGAATGAGGTGTTTGACTTCCAGGTGAGGGCTGGACTACTGTAGCCATTTTCCTTGTGTGGGGTCTTTCTCCTGTGCAGCTGGCAGGTGGGACCATCTTTCCTGTGTTGAGCCCTTTTCCACACAGTCAAATCTGAATCTGAACTGGTCTGGTGAGCTCCTCTGCCCCACCTTGCAGACTCACTGGGACTCTGCCCTGCCTAACTCTGCCAATGCCAGAGGCACTTTCTTGGCCAGCAGCCAGTTTTGTCCGCATTGCACCCTTTCATGGAAAGCTATCAGAGTCTGCAGGCCAAAGGTAGGTGGCCTCAGTGTGCTCTGAGACTTTTGCCAAGTAGCTCCAGGCTCAGCACTGGCACCAAACCAGAATATACATTAATCTAGTGAATAGAACTCTTGCCTCTCTAGTGACTCCCTGAGACTCTGCCTCACCCAATTTGCATACCGCATGAGGATTTATCAGTGGCTGACCCTTAAGGGAACCAGCAGGTGGCAGCAGGCCTTGGGGTACCCTGGCTTTTTGTGAAGCTACCCAAGGCTTGGTACTGGTGGCAGCCATCCTCAGTTTGCAGCATGGCCTCTCCCACATGCCTCCAGGTCTAGCACAGGCAGCAAACAACCATGGATCACTTTGTGGGTTCTACCAGGTAGTCTCTGGCTGGTCATATGCAGTGAGTAATGTGGGCATGTACTGGAGGCCCTCACAAGAGGCCCCAGAGCCAACATACATGGAGGTTGGCTTCAGACCATAGCAGAGCACGACCCAATTAGCCCCAGAAGCAGCACACACAAAGGGTAGTCTCAACAGGCACCAGAGCCCACTAGGGAAAATTCTACTCAGCGGGGTCAGGCCTGCACACAGTAGCCCATAAGCTGCGGATAGGGCCAAACCACACAGCCAATCTGCCTGAGGATCAGTTCTACCTACTGACATGCCAGTAGCAATCAAGGGTCAGTTATAACAGGAGGACACACACAATTCACACAAGGGACATTCCTGGAGCACCCGAAGCAGGTAACCGAGGAGACTGCTCCAGGGCCCCACATGGCACATACTACATAAGGTCACCTGACCAAGACTAGGAGACATATAACATAATATTAAATGTCAATTGTAGTTGAAAAATTAAAAGGGAGGGGAAAGGTGAACAGGAATGAGAGGTCAAAATTTCCAGGTAGAAAACAAATAAGTCATGAGGATATAATGTGCAGCATAGGAAATATACTCAATAATATTGTGATAGCATAGTAAAATGTCAGATGGTTGCTGGACTTATCATTGTGATCACTTCTTTAGGTATATAAATGTTGAATAAATATGGTATAATCCTGAAACTAGTATAATATTGTATATTAACCATATTTTTAATAAGAGTCTTAAAAACTTATGGTAATTTTGAAATCAGTGAAAGTAATAAAACTATGTGAATTGGAGGACAACTGCCATAGAGAAAAAAAGCTGAGGTTGAATAGTCTAAATAGTGTATTTAAATCCACTAAGTGAAATAGTAAATGTAAAACTAGCCTAAAATAAAGGAGACCCATACATATATGTATATACTATATATAGTATGTATATTATGAATAATATATAGTGTATATTTATAAATATAAAGATAGGTAGGTAGATAGATAGATAGATATAGATAGAGTGTAATTGATAGAGTGTTATTGCATTTACTTTCAGAATACTCAACGAAGACTTTAGTAGGTAAGCATGTGGCAGAAACACTGGGTACATGATGGGAGTCTAATACTTTGAGATTGTTCTAATCTTGAGTTAGTTGAATCTATAACAACTTTAGTAAAATAAGAGAATAAACTTTTGCATCCCTTACTTTAAAATTTTCTTTTTCCTAAGATTATTCTTATATGCATGGTAATGTCAACAGAACATGCCTGCGAGAAAGCACACTCTATGAATATGTCTGTTTACTGTGTCTCAGTGAGGGCATAAATCCATATCTCAGTGGAGAAGAACATATGGAGCCCAAAGAAAGGAAGAAAATATATTGGTTTAAAAACAACTAATTAAAGCTGGTGACTGGACCAGAAATATCTTCCACCTTTACACTAAAACATTTCAAATTAGTTTCTAATTGAGATAAAGTAGAAAAGTTAAAAACAGTCCTATTTCTCTAGGAGCTGCTTTTGATGTTGTTGCTGTGAAAAGGATGGCCTAGACAAAAATGGCACAGAACATATTGGCATCTCCTGGCTACATTTTATTAATGCATCTTTAAAGTTCAGTGCATATGTTCTATATGCCTGATCTACAAGTTCCCTCTTGTGTATCTCAAAACTACATGTAGCCAAAAGTAAATAATTACTAATCCAAACTCAGGTTCATCTAAAAAGATATAAATGAAGCCATATTAGTCAATGAGTTGATATTTATTAAAAGCCCAAAGTGTGGTGAAATTGTGGACAAGCGTTTGATAGCTTATCTCAGGCAATGGCATCATCTTCTATGGTTACCTAACCTAGAAAACTCAGTTATATTTAACTTCTCTCTCTTCATTTCATCATAATCAAGTTGACTCTAATATGTCAATTCTACTTCCTAAATACATTTCAAATCCTCACCAACCGGCCAGTCCCACTGCAACTTTCCCAATTCAGGATTTTATTACTTCTTCCCTGGGTTATTAAAATATCCTTCTATCTGGGTGCCCTGTCCCTCAACTATTACCTTTCCAGTCAACCTTCCACATTCACATTATTACCAAAATTATCTAATTATCCCACTCCTGCCTTCAATGGCTTTCCAGTGTTTCACAATAAAAGAAAAAATTTCCCAAAGCCCCCTTGTAAAATGAATGTTTGGACTATTTTATTTCTCAGTGCCTTGTACCTTTGATAATGTTATGGATTTATGCCTCTCAGTAAATGTTGACTAAATGAGGAGCAATTCTTAGAAAACATTGTAGTTAAATAAACATGTCTATGGACATGTGGTAATTTTCCTAATTTATTGAACTGATTTTGATACCTGTAACTGTCATATATATATATATATATATATATATATATATATATGTATATATATATATATATATATATATAGTGTGATAAAAATATGGTGAATGTTTAAATTTAAAAAAATTATTATATTAAGAGACACATCCCCATGAATCTCCCTCAAAATACTCCCTCTCACTTTGAACACACTTATCCCATCATTCTTGGCACTTTCTGAAGCAGTTTTGGAAGTCCTCTTTGCTGAGTGTCGTTAGTTGTACTGTCATGGCTGCCTCCATGTCTGGAAACAAATCAAAACATTTTCCTTTTATGGTCATTTTGACTTTGGGGAAGAGCCAGGAGTCCCACAGTGCCAGGTCTGGTGAATAAGTGGATTAGAACACACTGTAATGTTTTTATTTAACAGAAATTGCCATATCAGAAGCGATGTGTGACACGGAGCTTTTATGTTGTGATCGAAAAGTATGGTGATTGCTGCTGCCGAGTGCCATCCAACAGAAAAGCAGGGATCTTCAATAGGGAAGCAGCACGTAAAACCTTAGTAACAGTGTGTGATAAGTTTCAACTTGTTTGGTGCAGTCAGTTGGGTGTGAGCTACGGTTGAGTGAAGGTGTGTTTTAAAGTGTGTTATAAATCATTCGCATCATGACAACGCTCAGTGTCACACATCATTTTTGGTGTAGGAAAATTTTTGTCAAATCAAAACACTATGGTGTGTCCTCATCCACCTTATTCACCTGAGCTGGTGCCATGTGACTTCTGGCTCTTCACCAAAGTCAAAATGATTCAGGGCATCAAGGCAGCCATGACAGTGCAACTAAAGACACTCACAAAAGAAGACTTCCAGAACTGCTTCAGAAGGTGGCAAGAATTATGGGATAAGTGTGTTTGAAGCAAAGGTGAGTATTTTGAGGGGAATTAATGGCAATGTGCCTTTTACTGTATATTTTTTAATTCAAATATTCACCGTATTTTATGATCATACCTCGTGTGTGTGTGTGTGTGTGTGTGTGTGTGTGTGTGTGTGTAAAACATAGTATATATACAAAGAAAAATATCAGGTGAATTTGAAAGAATACCCAACATCACTGAACATATATTAGAAATAAATAACTTTAAATAATGGCCTCTGCCTTTAGAAATCTTCATGCGTCACTTTAGAAATTTAAGAAAAAGAACAGTAATGAGAGTAAAAATAACCAGCAATCCCAACATTCAAGAAAATCCATACTGATATTTCAGGCTCTTTCTTTTCATCCCCTCTGTTTTTGAATGCACAAGTAAACTCTTTAAAAATCAAAATTCTATGATGTATAGTTTGTCACTTATGTAGCATAAGAATCATCTTATACCATTAAACTTTTTTTGGAAAGTATGTTTTTATAGATATACAATTTATTGAGCCATTGTCTTATTGTTGTTCATCTTAAACATTAACTAATTAATCCTTAACTATATCCCTAATTATTTCCATAATGAATTTCAAAGCATGAGATTCCTGGGCTGGAAGAAAAGAAGTTTTAATGTTCTTCTCGTTTAGCAATACATTTTTCCAGAAAGGATACTAATCATGTAAGAAAATGTTTATCTCACCAACATCCTGTCAGCTTTGCATAGCATCTTTTTAGGAGATTATTATTTTTGCCATTTTGAAACTAAGTTTAATTTTCATTACTAAGGTAATTTAACATCTTTTCTTATGGATGTCCATCATTTATTTTGCTTCTATCATAAATTGTCTATTGATGTACTTGGCCTATTTTTCCATAGGAGTATAAAATAACACCTATTTTGCCAGCAGGTTTCAACACACATGGGAAAAAGATATATTCATGGAATGTGCCTTTGAACCTGCATTCAAAAGAATTCAAACAGGTTAGTGGTGAATAAAGCAATTGCTTTTGCTTAATGATACAGGTGGGGAAAAAATTTGTAGAACATGTATTTTTTGAAAATAAAATATCTGTGGTTCACAGTGTAGGTGTATGTACAAATCAGCTTCAAAAGTGCTTTCATTGAAGGAGCTGCTGGAAACATAGTATAAATATATGCCTTTTGTAACACAACATTTCTATAGAAGGTCATATATAATGGTTCCTTCAAACTCAAATTTAGGAGTTAATAAGTTAAATATCAGAGAAACTAGAACTTCAGAATCATCCTTGACATGCACCCTATCCAACTCTTATTCATTTTTTTTTTAGAGTGAACCCAATAGAGTCTCCTGGATCCGTCCCTCTGCCACTGTCTTAACTCAAGCTCTCACATCTCACCAGGGCTGTTGCAGCAGCTTTTGAGTGTTTAAAATTGTTCCCATTTAGTATCTAGTCTTGGAGTTCTATCAGAGTTAAATCAATAGTTAAGTATCATTTTTTTTTCTCTTAAAAAAATGTTTGCCAAACGTTTCTATATTCTCTGAGTTATAAATTTACTTTTGGTAATTTACATTCAGTCATGCTTGAACAACCTTATGTCCTCACAAACAGGCTATTATGAATCCACGTAAGTCATATCCAACTACGTGGGCTAGCTTGTCACATGATGAACCCACCTTTTTCCTATATCGTATTTTTTTCTTAGAATGATATTGCCTTTATTCTTTGCAAGACTCTAATTCAAGTATCACCTATCATGTGGACCCCTTCTCAAATTCCTCAGTTGTTGTTGTTGTTGTTCATTTATAGCATTTTGTTCAGACCTGTATTGTAGCACAGTGGATTTTCATTATTTACTTTTATACCTGTATGTACCCCTAAACTATGAAGTTCTTTTGGATAGAGATTCTATATTAATCACCTTTCCAATTGCCAGAGGCCTGTGACTGGTACCATGTTAGGGGTGATTAATTAATGTTTGCATAATCAATGAATGAATTTTCAAATAACCAACAGAACCTGAACTAAATGTGCAAAATACTGTTTAAGTACTTTCGTTCAGTCTTCAAAATTACTTTTATTATCACCTCCACTTTGTAAGATGAGAAAACTGAAGCTTAGAAAGGGTAAGCAGCTTGTCCAGGGTAAACCTGGGATTTGAATCCCCATCTAATTCCAGAATTGAGGAGCAAGGTTGGATAGCAGAAATCCCAAGAGTGAAGAAGACTTGGGCTGAACAGTGTCCTACCCACCAGGTTAACTCAAGACTTAACCACTAGGATCTTATGGTTTCTGTTGGTTTTGTGTTTGATGAATGTGTGTGGAGAAAATCAGAAAGATTATTTAATAAAGAGGCTCATGTCTTTCTTTGTGAAGTCACTGTTTCTAACCTAATATAATCCAATGTTTGAGAGGCATCACCTTTACCATTCAGGTATTTCAAAATAGATCTGCAACTGGAAGGACCTATCAACTGTGAGAAATGACCTAAACAGTTTCTTTTTATAATAACCTTGCTGAGAGACTATTAAAAGAACATACTTGAAAACATCCATCTGTCCGCAACATGGCACAATCTATTGGGTTGTCGGGAAAGTCATGACACATTTTTGCATTTAAAAACATAGAAACATACGTCATACCTTTCCTGATGACCCAATACATCTTTGCACCTCAGAACACTTCTAAGCTTGCGTAGTCTTTTACTAGTGTTTCCTGACAAAGGAATGAGGTAGGAAGAGACGAGAAGACTGGTGCCGGGGGCAAATAAACAAACAAACATTACTTGAGGTATTGGGCTAAGCTATGAATATGTGCTATTTAATTTCTAGAATTGCCTTGAGAAAATTCAAGTCTATAATTAATTACATAGATGGTGAACTAGCTTACTGATTGATTTTGCCATCTTCATGAAAAACTCTACATGCGCAGCCTGGGAACACATGCTGAATTACATAATTTTGATGCCTGTGGTAGACACATATGGTAGAGGGATGACTGACTATATGATAGCAAATAGCCCTGCAAGGTCAAGTTTCAACTGTCTTCATCATCTACCACCTGGCAGTGAACCAGACTGGGGAGGTAAAAGGGATTACCCACTCCCCTGATCCACTCTGACATGCTGTTGTTATTTCGGGCATGGAGACATAGTCCAAGGTAAATGTCACTGATATGTACTCCCTTAAAGCTGAATAAAAATAAAAGCAGAGCTTATTGATTTTTTTAAATTAATTTTCTGCCAGACTTCATTTAGGCCCCATTGCCTACTTTCTTTGAGAACACCTGGGCAAGCAGAAATTTTCATTGCTGACTTAGAACATAGGGAAGCTAAACTAGAAAGAGCCCAATTTTCCTTGTCATACAATACAAGGGTAACAAGATCTTCAGGAGAGGCATGGTAGTAACTCAGATTGCTAAGACGAGTACGTAATGCATCCAAGAAAATTCCCCAGAGGTACAGAACTGTGTCCACATTCTTATCCCTTCTAAAGATAGAGATTCTTATCATTGGAAGATTTTTTGTTTTGTTGGCAAACTTCCATGTCCACTTATACAGTGTAATTGGCTATTTTATTAAATATGATTTTCATGGCACTTTAGCACAGTATATGCCAGAACTCCTAAATCTGAGAGGTAGAGTCCCATCATTTTGGAGTTTCTCATCAAAAAGAGAGTATAATTTAAGATTAAGCCCTGAAGGAATGTGTCTAAACACGCTCTCTTACCATTAAAAGACTTACATAGAAATAAAATACTTAAGATTTTATGAAAATATTTAGTCAAGGATGTTTTGACTTAGAAACAAAATGTTTTGCAGTTCCAAAATACTCAAGATTCCAAGCGTGTCTCAACATGAAAGGCAACTGTGAAGGGTCACTTAAGAAAGAAAATAGTTGCAATTGATGAGCCATTGTCACATTTTTCCTTCTTCAATAAACATTGTAAAATTAACCTTTTGAGCCCTTTCTCTTCCTTATGCTGAAAGGAGCTTCTCTTTATTAGAAGCAATGAAAATGAAATGTAACAGGTGTAGATCATGTCACTTTTGAATATGGGAAGATGTGATTTAGGTCTGCTCATGTACAAATGACCCTGGAGATATTACAATTCTTCTAACTCCTGGGTCATGACCCTGAGAGTGGAAAATAAACTGAATTATATGCAACTTGATAGACTGAGCCTGATGACTTATGCCATGCATATTATATGATTGAGTACATAACTTTATTCAAGTCAGGGCATTTATTTTACTGAAGTATTTTCTCTCTCTCTCTCTCTCATGCACACACACACACACACACACACACACACACACACACACACACACACACCATTTTCAATAACTAAGATACTAAATTCAAGCCCATCTCACAATACCTTAAAGATGACCCAGGTCTGGTTGCCATGCAGACATTCCTATTTCTGTACAAATGTATGGAAGGCTGGAATTGTTTTGTGCTGAGGAACAGATAAATGACATGGATTGAAATTATGGTAAATTTAAATTGATGGCCTAATTAGTATTATCTCTTTTTGTATTCATTGTAAGAAAAATTATCCAGGAGGAACTCATTTTGCATTAATGTTGATATAAAGTGTAATTCTCCAGGATTTTCATTGTAATTTGGCATTAATTAATGCATCATTATTTTAAAGTGTTAATTAAATTGTTACAGAAAGGGACATCTGCAGTGGCTCAGAAAGGAAATCACATGAACAATTAGTTTTGCATAGGTCTGTGGCACAGAATCCACGATCACATGTGTGGCAGCAGCATGAAGGCCAAGGTAGATGGCAGACGGAAAGAACTCTGCTCTGCCCTGCTCGGGACATTGTTGACAGTACATGAGCTCTTGTCTTACCTTTTCCATTGTGTGTGTGTGAAGAATGAGCAGTCTCTAGCACACTGGGTATTTGTTCCATGCTTAAGAAAGAAGGCATCAAGAGGACTATGCTTCTTTACTTAATTTTTCAGTGAGCTTGGCAGAAGCTACTGACCATTCTCAGATCAGTAAAAACAATAACAGGCTCCTTTTTTTTTTCTTTTTGCAATATTATCTAAGGATCTCAGAAATAGGCTGCTGTAGAAGGCTAGGTTAATATTTCTACCGGTAATAAATTCCATACAAAACTGTGACAAATCGAAGGGGAGATAATCTGTGGTAACTCCTTACGCAGTGGACCATCATTGTTAAGGCATCTGGAAGTCATTGAATGCTATCATGGCTTAAGATACATAATTCCAAGGAAATTCCACCATGATTTCATATATCAAGGAATCATGGCAATCAGGTAGCACGCAGGTTGCTAAATCAATGGAACTTGGGATTTGGAGGGAAGAATATATAAAGTGGGCCCCGAACACTCTGTCATCATGGTCTCACAGGACACAGAAATTTGGGGAGTCTTATTCTGTCAGCACCATTATCCTATATTTAACCCTGTGGGGCTCTACTGAATGAGCATTCTTTGTCAAGAGTTGTAAACCAAGCTCCCCATAGGAAGAGTATAAAAGGATACTATAGCATCATACCATTTAAAACTATGTAGCCCTTAAATTGGTTATATGTATATTTTTCTAGATGCCAACTTAATATTAAGCTTACAACTATTCCTTTAGCAGCCACAATGAGAGTCTCTAATTTCTTAGGTTCTGTGAAATTTTCCTTACAGATGTTTTATGGACATGTAAGGCAAAGCCCAAATTCCTACAGTTAAATTGAACTTAAATCTTTCCTTTTTGCATCAAATGATAAATTGGACAGAAAAGATCAGAATCATTCCATGCTGTTTTGACAGTCCTCCTTAGATGAATGGTCATTTACTTCCCTCCTCGAGATAAAAACCCATTACAGGTGGAGGTCTTTCTTGGGTCTTTTGTCCAGCTTGTGGCCTGGTGCCAGGATCACTCAATAAAGAGTTAATAGATTGCATCATGTAGCTCATGGATAATTGCTTTCCAAAAAAGAGGTGACCACAAAGCTTCTATAAGTTC